ATTTTTTTATTTTGTAGAAACAAAATAAATATATTGAAAAATATAAAAACAATAAAAAGTTATACTTCAGAAGTTAATTTAGTATCAAAAACGTAAAATATTTGAGTAGCCGAAGACATAGCCAAAGATTACAGCACCATAGCACTGGCGAAAATTTAAATTTGTCGACTGGAATTCCTTCGGATAAACGACGCTCTACTGTATTAGATTGATTCTTTACTTATATTACTGGTGTAAACATGACTATCAAAAATTATTATATTTTTGATACTGATAGATTAATAAGATACTGTAATAAGATGTGTTAAATATAAAATTTTTTATATATTAAATATAGGATTCATATATTTTTAATGTTTTGATTTCTTTAAATAGATTCACAGTTAACATTATGGTTTTTGATTCTAGTTTAATTTTATGAACATACAGTATTTATAATTGTACAAAAAAATTAACATTTATTATCTGAACAATTTTGAAAATACAATATTAAAATAAAAATTTGTATTTTTTAGAATACAAGAGAAGCCATCAGACGTCATACATTAGAATTTGGTGAGCTTCTTCGTAAGGAAAATGATGTTGCACTTGTTACAGATGGGAAAGTTAGTAATATTTCCTTACTTTACATGAATAATAGCTTGTTTACAATGTTTACTAATAATAATTTTTTTTTCAGACATTAAAATATGCATTAACATCAGATGTTAGACATGATTTTGTTGATATCGCTCTCTCTTGTAAATCAGTAATATGTTGCAGGTAAATATATATTTAAAAATTTTAATTTAAATATTTTTTTTACGTTTCACTAACAACTTGAGTAACCTGGAAAGAAGTTTCAGATTATCCAATTGTTTGAATTATCAGAAATTTCTAATAAAGTAATAAAACTTCAGAAAGTATTTTATAATTTTCTACAGTATAAAAATTCTAAATTTCAATTTATTGAAACAAAATGAGGTGTTACAGTTTTATATTAGAATTTTAGGATAATGATTGTTAACATTCCAGGATTCCATTAGAGATCAGAAAAGCTGTAAAGGGCACAAGTCAAAATATAACAAGATCAACTAGTTCATCTAGTCATACCATATTTTTCATATGTACAGTACATGATAAACATCATTCACAATGAGTAGGGCAAATTACTTTTATTCAAAAGGATCCTAAAATTTCAAATTGATGCATGTAATTTAATATCTGTTAGTAATCTGTTAATAATAGTTTCTTTAACAGTTTTAATAATACTTGAATGATAGTGAAATCTACCAAATTCAAACAAAAAAATAAAATCTGATTTACTTGATTTCACAATTAATTAAATTAAAGTTTACTATATTATGAATACATAATTTCTTTGATAGAACTATGGTTAATTGATTATATTCTTCAATTTAGATTTAAATCATTTACTTGTAGTAAATGATTTAAATCTAAATTGAATTTAAATAATTTACTACAAGATTTTTAGACAAATTTTTAAGTAGTCTATCTTTAATAAATTTTAATTTCAGTTGAAAAAAAAATTTCAAAAAGTTCAAAATATTAAATACAACTAAATCTTCAATTATACTGTTATATTCATAGTTGAGCAGAAATAAAATTTAAAAATTTTTAAAATTTTTGTAGATTACTATTACTTTTGATAATAATAAATGACGCTTTTAGTCCATGACTTTAATTTAGATAGAGTTAGATAGTCTAATAAATAGGATTTTAACAATTTGGAGGGCTTATCACATCAAGGCCGACCGAAAAACAGACCAGATCTTTTTCAAAAAAAAAAAATGTAATCTTTAATAATCACTTTCAAATTTAGGAAAGAATGCATTTCAGGTACATGGACCCCTCATCAGCTTACAAACACATAGTATCACCTTAGCACACACATAATTATAACACTAATAGTTAACCAATACAAAGGACTTTTTGATATATACAGTGCACTGTATTTACAATACTTAATACAACTCATATACTAAAGAACAACCAATCATAAAATAAACCACACTAAATAATACAATGAAGTAAACTTTAATATTTTACAAACTTTTTTTATGTTATTTATGTGACAAATTATTAATAATAAATTTGTGTAATTAATACAGTAGAGCGTCGTTTATCCGAAGGTCGGTTATCCGAAGGAATTCCAGTCGACAAATTTAAATTTTCGCCAGTGCTATGGCGCTGTAATCTTTGGCTATGTCTTCGGCTACTCAAATATTTTATGTTTTTGATACTAAATTAACTTCTGAAGTATANAACTATATACAATAATTAGTAAAATCAAATAACAAAATTTATTCAATGAAACTCAACAAGAATCAACCCGACAAAACTCAATTCAATCTAGTTTCTAACTTAAATCTATTCCCCTTTGGAATTCGACAAAATTCAAAGACTTAACTTATATACAATAATTCTTATGAATTAAAGATCCTAATCGTCACCTCAATATACTAGGAACCTATTTCCTCAACTCTCAAGACTTTCTCTATTCGTTGATCCACAAATTGAATAACTTCAAAATTGCCTTGGAACTATTTGATCCTATCGGACACCTCTCTTTCGTTCACTGCTACGAAACTCACCAAGCTCGTTGCTATCTGGAGTTCACCTCCTTCATCTTCACTTGACGTTCGGACTTTATACTGTGAGGTGATGTCACAATTCTGACTGCGATCATTCCCCTCATTTACATACTTATTCGCTAACAATAAACATTTTCTATTTTTCTGGCAGCCTATTTTCCGACAATACTCGCTAACCTTTTACATTATTCTTTTTGACAATTTTTGGGATGTTTTATTCTTTTAAGGTTTAGCGAATTTAAGTTGTGCTTGTGGGGTTTTCTTCCCCCCTCCCCTTTTCCTCGGTGCGGACTTAGTTTTTTCCGCTCGGGAACGCAAGTGTACGTGAGTTTTTTCTACTGCGCTTTTCTCTCGTTGGTGAGTTGGTTTCTCTTCTATATTTAAGTTTCTAAGGTGAATGGTGGGGGAAACCTTCGTCCTAACAAAACATAAGCCCCAAACAAAAATATAATAAAAAAGCAAAATTAAAGTAAATAAAAATAATGCTCGGACTTGGTTCCTTACATAATTTCTCTATTTAGTCTTAATTGGATAAAGAATTTTTTAACATTGAAGATTAAATCAGAACCCATATAGTCGTTAATGTTTGGATAATCTAAAATTATATTATAATAAGCAGAGTTAATATGGTACCTTACATCATAAATATCTTGAGTTAAAGATATTTCAAAAGCATTCTTAATTAATTGAGTACTATATATTTCACACAATTCAGATTTATATATGAACGGAACTATTGGGAAACCGAACATATTAAACAAAGTTGACAATTGACAGATCCAATTTTTTTCTTGACTTATCGCTGAAAGATTTTTGATATAGTATTTTCAACAGTAGAGCTGGAATCTTCTCAATCGGCTAAGAAATTTAATATATCCTTTAATAAAAAACGGACCCAATTTAAGTCTGTTCAATTCAAGACAAAGCACCGCACAGAAACATTATAATCTAGATAAAAAACATTACATACAAATTTGTTTTGAATTATTTCTAGATTTTTAAAATACGATAAGCTCCAAATGGGAGCAGCATATCCAAAACCATTTAGAATAATGGAAGAAAACAATCTAAATTTGACTTTAATGTTATGAATTTTTAATTTAGCAAACAATTTGACTAAATTGTTAATCAAAGTAGTAGATTTTGTTTTGACTTTCTTATAATGTTTCTTAAAAGACAAAGTAGGAGTAAGCACTAAACCCAAGAATTTTATTTCTGAGACTATTAAAAGCTTTTCTTGGTTGAGATAAAATGACATACATTTTTTTGGTAATTTAGTACCATTTTGGAAAATCATAATAAAAGATTTTTTTGGATTAATTTTCAATTTTAATTCTTCACAGTATTTTTGTAAAGCATGTATTTTTCGTTGAAGCACAGCTGCAGTCGGTGCTAACATTACTATATCATCAGCATATGAAATAGAATGAATTATTTGATCTTCAAAAGAAAAACCATCATTTTCATTTGTAAAGCAGTCATTCAAGTCATATAAGTAAAAGTTAAATAAATAGGGGGACCATGGGTCACCCTGTAACAACCTCGATTTATTTTTATAGCTGGCAATATAGTATTATTCTATTTTATGATGATATCGTACCGACCAAAAAGCAAACCAACAGCACTGATCAATTTAGCATCTGCTCAACATTTAGACATTTTATTTTGTAGATTAGCTATTGGAACAGATTAATATGCCTTCTCTAAGTCCAAAAAAAAGAGCAAATACTTTGTCTTTTCCTTTGTAATTGAAGTTGTATTAATGCCAGAAGTACAAATAGTGCTATCAGAGTGCCACCATCTTTGTTAAAAGCATATTGGATTCTATTATTATTCTATAGCAATTATTTCTATAGTCGTTTGTAGCAGTCCATTCATTAAATTTTGTCATTAGTACAGGTGTATATAGCTTCCGAAGTCCAGATAATAGAGCGATCGGTCTACAGTTGGCTGGTTGTGTTCTATCTCCTTTTTTGAAACTCATATATAAAATTATTTTATTCCATTCATTAGGTAGTATAGTTAAATTATATAAATCATTAAATATTCTGACTAAATACTCAACCATTGGCCTCGGTAATTTCTTTATTGCTATGTTTGGTATTGTATAATAATCTGGGGCAGTTTTTTCTTTCAATTTATTAATATGGGAGCACAAGGTTTTTGAATTAAATAGTTCTTCATATGACTGAATATTTTGTTGATCTTGATAAGTTATATTCCTATTGTTGTAAATTGAATAACACCGTGAAAAATCCCTAAAATAATTATACCAAACATTATGAGGAATTATTGGATTATTAGCTGATTTTGAATTTTTACAAAATCTGTTTATAATCTTCCAAAACAGTTTGGTGTCCTTCTGTTCAATTAATGAGTCACTTCGTGAAGAAAAATATTTTTTCTTCTTGGCTTTAATTATATTTCTATACATTTTTTTGTGTAACAAATATTGTGTTAAATAGTAGGTCGAATTAGTCTTCCAGAATTTTTGTAGACTTTTTTGTTTTTTAATTTTATAATAATAGCATTTTTTATCGAACCAAATCTGTTTAAATTTGTTAGTCATATTATTATTATTATTTTTAAAAAAGAATGATTGTAATAATTTCATTAGATATTCATAGTTCTTATATGGATTATTAATCTTTTCTTGTGATAATAGTTTGTTGGATTTAAAAGTCAATTCTCTCGGGAATCTTTGAATATTAAACTTTGCTCTCGGTCTATTCAAAAGTTTTGAGGGTATATTAGACTGTTTCGTTAAGTTGATTGTATCCTTATTTCCTTTTAATACTAGGTTTATAGGAAAATGATCAGACATATCTAATTCTAGAATTTCCATAGATAAACAATGATCTATCATAGCTTGAGAGCATATAATAAAATCTATAATAGATTTTCCCATGTGAAATATGAAGGTAAACTCAGCCGGATAATCTCCTTTGATTCTACTATTCAGTAGAATCAAATCGTTTTCTTGTGTAAAATTTAACAACGTATAAACATCTGTAGATACAGATTTATCTTTCGATAGTCTTTTATTTTTAATAATGTCACTATTCCCTTTATATTTTAGATCCATAGTTTCTCCAATGCGAATGTTAAGATTGCCACCGAATATCCAATAGTTTATAATATTAATCCATGGATTGATAGTTTTTTGTA